CCACCATCTAGTGGTCTTAGCAACAAACAAGCCAAGAACACTATAAACATTCAGACAATGAGTCTTATTCATAAAGCCAAAAATGATAGTTTTAGTCCAAAGTCCCGAATTACAGCCCTTGAAATGTCTCAAAAAAGTTTCCAAGTGCACATTTCTTCATGTAGCAGTAGTTTTCCTTCTGGGGCTTTTATGACCTTCAGAGCTTTGTAATCGCCTCCCCTGTCCAGGTGTCTTCATTACTTTTCTCTTATCCTGCAGTGTTTATTTCTAAAGAAAACTCAAAAGAAGCTTTTAGTGATGTTTCCCAGGCCCCCAAGGTTGCTTTCTGTCTTTAGTTAATTTATCATAAAGGTATCCAATTAGTATATTATGAATTCAGTGAAAACCCACCTATAAATGTTAACTTAGAATTTTGACTATAGAATTAAGTAAAAACCTTAATGATTAATCTTTATCCTAAGTCTGTGAAAACAGTGTTATAAATCACCTACATAATTCCTAGATAAGTGTTAGAACTTATAATGAATTCATAATGAACTTACTATAAACTTGTGCTTCTAAAAAACCTTATGTCTAAACACTAAACTACATAATTCTAAATCAAATAAGGAGTGAATATACTTATATCATTTTTTATTCAAGCAATATCTAGTAACTTATAACCAAGTGAAAGAAAGCATTCTTGATGTGCTTCAGAGTTTAACCCTTGCATATGTTAGAAAAGGCCAAACGGCATAGTGGGAAATGGAAAAATAAACCATGACATTCTCAGGTTAGCTGTGAGTACTTTGCATAAACATGCCATTTTCTTCTTCCACGACTGCACAGCTGCACCAAACAGCAAAGGTGGAAGACAGAAGGGCCTCAGTTTCCCGGGCTCACCCTGCAGCCCGGGGTCTTCAGTCCACCAGGACCCTGTCAATCAGGTGGGCCTCCAAGGCTGGCTCCCCACACTTCAGTTGTGTAGACGGATTGCTGTGCTCCCAGGGGGGACTTGGGGGCGGAGTGGTTAAACATATGAGCTTTGCTGTCAGAGCTAGGATGACATCAGAGTCTTACTATTTCTTTTTGGGTAAACGTGGCAAGTGCTTTAACCTCCAAGCATCGGTCTTCGGATCTCCACTTGTCTCGTGGCATTATCTAGGGGCTGGAACCTGGATAATGCAGGATACGCCTTGGCATGGTGCCTGGCTCAGCAGGGGAAGATCATCCTGAAAGACCCCTGAGCAGCCCTGAAAGTGCCTAGAATCTCTGGAGGACTCAGCATGGTGAGCCATGGGATAGTCCTTGGAACCAAGTACTTATCCTCATATACAGGGGTGCCAAAAAACATATACACATATTAAGTATGCTGCTCGCTCAAAAGAGAGCATTCATCAAATGAATGCCAGCGTCACCATGAGACAGGCAGGACAGCCAAAGAAAACAGCGGAAGCACAGTGAACGGATGTCATACTCCACACGCCTACTGTAAATCAATTCAACTTCGAAAAGTAACACCTAGATGACATCTCTTAAAATGTATATACATTTTTGGGGCACCTCGTGTAACGCAGAATAACTAAGTATAAATGCATAACCATCCCCTTCTCATCTTCTGAGGGTCTTCTGTTTGCACAGCATGGCCGTGAGACCTCTGTTCTGGTGTGAGGTGGTTAGGGGAATTGGGGAGGATGCCAAGGCAAGACACTAAATTGTTTGACCTAAAAAAAATGAGGTGGGGGAGGGAGAAGTTCGGCGGTAGGAAGTGTGTGGGAGGGACTTGGGAGTCCCAGAAAGAGGAGATTGTGGTTTGGGCTGGCGCTGGAGGAAGTCCGGCCTTGTGATCGGAGTTTATCCCCGCCTTCCATCCCCTTAAGAAATCTTCAGGCCCAGGCACGGTGGTTCACACCTATAATCCCAGCACTTTGGGAGGCCAAGGTGAGAGGATTGCCTGAGCCCACGGGGTTGAGACCAGCCTGGGGCAGCTTGGAGAGACCTTATCTCTGCAATAAATCAAGAAAAATTAGCCGGGCGCGGGGGTGCATGCCTGTAGTTCCAGCTACTTGGAAGGCTGAGGCAGAAGGATCACCTGAGCCCAG